TACTTATGAATCAATTCATGTCCCATGTGAATATTGCTTTGCCAGCCAATAATAGCACCAGCAGGATTAGCAACTAATTTTGTCCTTCATCTAATAATACGCCATCTTCAGGAAACATTCCTCTGATAGTGTAAAAAAAAAAAGTATCCTGGGATTGATCTGCATTACGAAATAATAGGTCTAAAGCAAACCGTCGGGGCGACCAGATATCACTGGCTATTTAGAGAACACCTCGCTGGTTGTGTTAAGTGAATAAGTCTTTTGCCTAGCCAGCTCCTTGCTGGAGTACTTTCAAAACCTTAAAAATGGCTACTACAATATTGTGGGTCTGATCTATCGAGAGGGAGAGATTCCCACTGAAATCATTGGGAGTTTTGTCTGCATAAGATCTGGAATTGGGTCCACAGTCTCTGATTCAACCAAGAATTTAGCTTAAGCACATGCAGAGTTCAAAGGGACTTCAACATCTTTTAAAGCTAAGCTCCTGCTTAAGTGTTTTGCTGAATCAGGATGGAGCTAGGCATGTGCTTAAAGGTAAGCATGTGCTGAAGTAGCTGAATCAGAGTCAGAATGAAGTCGGTGTTCTGGGCAGTGTAGCATAATAGGAAGGGTTGGTAGAAGAACCCAGCTAGAACAGAATAGGGTGCGAGGTGGAGAGGGGATCCCCTGGTAGGTTTTTAACAGAAGAAGTTGTCTCCAGGAGGTCCAAAGGTCATCCGGCCACCTCTAACATGGAGAATGCATAGCACAGGTGCACAGGTACTCTGGAATGGAGCAGGGCTGGATTAATCTTTTGTGGGCCTTGCGCCAAACATATTTGTGGGCTCCCATGGGGGCAATGGAACATGGCTTGGGGAGATCAGTCACCAGAGTGAGGGGCCGGCCAGGGGCAATGGGGCATGGCATGGCGGGGGTGGCCCCACTCCGCCCAGCGTGAGGGCACTGTTTACAAAATGGCATTCGCCAGACGGACACTGGCCCCTGGTCCTGTTCTGCCCATGTGTCCCTTCCCCTTGGGGGGTGGGTCCATGCCATGCCAACAGGCCCCCCACCCAGCACCCTCTGGACCTGCTATGCCCAGCACCCGCCCCCCACAAATGCACAGCTCCCTGCACACCACCAACCCTGCCCAGCACCCCCCTACCCACAGCTCCACCACAACTGCTCAGAACCGCACACAGAACCTCCACTCCCTAGCACCCCAATACACACAGATCTCCCCCACTCCCATTGCCCAGTGCCCTTCCCCACAGCCCCACCACAACTACACAGCATCCCTCTAACAGACCCTACTGCCTAGCACCCCAAAACACACAAACCTCCCCCACTGCCCAGCGCCTCCCACCCCCCCACAGCCCAGCATCCCCCCCCCAGACCCACTTCCCTATGCCCTGCCCCATGGCCTTGCTGAGCCAGCGCAGAGCAGGGATCCCCCCTCCCAGCACAGTGCGAGGGGGCAGGACAGCTGAAGCTCAGGACATGGAGTGGCTCCATCTCTTGGGGCCCCACCCAACCCTACCTGCCGGGCGCTGGTGGTGTCCGTGGCGGAGGAGGCGTTTCCTTGCATGGGTGTGAGGGGCGGCAGCTGC